TCTATCTATCTATCTATCTATCATATCTTTCTATCTATCACCTATCTATCCATCATATCTCTATCTATCTATCTATCTATCTATCTATCTATCTATCTATCTATCTATTTATCCGTCTATCTTTCTATCACTGGTTTTACTCTCTAGACAACCCAAACTGAGACAGCACCCTTCTGACCCCAACTCCCAGTCACATCCTTACAGGAATGAAGTTAGCATTGATGTAGTCAGAGCCTGGCTCCCCATGGAGTGGCTTCAGGGGCACCCGGGACCAGTCATCTAAGGGAAGAAGGCAGTATTAGTGATGCAGAGATGGAGCAGAGCAAACCAGAGAGACAGAGGCAGGACCCAGGGACAGAAGTTATGCAGAGGTGAAGATAGACACAGAGCATGGAGGTTGAAGGGGACAGAGGGACTAGCTGGGTGAGTGGGTCAGGAAGCTCTCAACAGAGGGAGATCTTTCTTTCTCCCAGGGGTTAGGAGAAGGTACAAGGACATGATGGAAATGGGGTCAGAGTGTTGAAAAGGTGAAGGCTGGGGGAAAGTCAGTAGCAGCTGAAGACTCACACACACACACACACACACACACACACACACACACACAACCAAAGCCCATTGCTACTATTGCGTCAATTCTGACCCATGGTGACCCCATGTGCTACAGAATAGAACTGAACTCCATATAAAGTTCTCTTAGCAGACCTGAAGACCCTTCTTTCATGGTCACCACTGGGTGACTTCAAACCACCACCGCACCACCCATAGATGCTAAGACTCACAGGGAAACACATCTTTGTAGCGGTTCTTGGTGTTGTTCTCTGGAGCTGAGGCCACTATGTGCAGCTGGTCATGTCCCTCCAGGGCAAGTTGCTGGGTGTGAAGGCAGAAGAGGGATGCAATGAGATTGGAGTTTCTCTAGCTTTCACCAAGAACACTTCTTGGCTTCCCTTGTCTTTCTCATTACCTCCATCTACTCCTGGCACTACAGATTCCTGCAGCCCCAACAAAAATAGAGCCTATGTTTCCCATCACTCCCTGATAGATATTTCAGAGGACTTGGAGGAAGCTGCCCTGGGCAGTGGGGAAGAGGTTCTGGGAGATGTAGGCAAGAAAGCAAGGATGGGGGAAACTGGAAGACCCAAGAGTGAGTTTCTTTAGGACTGGCCCAAATTCCCATCACTTTGTAAAGATTTCATTTGAGTTGAAAAGATAGATGATCATGCCCGAGGATTTCTATCTAATCTCACAAAATATGGGAGGTTGTGTGTGTTCAGTCTTGACTGATAAAGGAAGTTCTGGGGTAGGTGGGTCATGAGGTTCAGTCAGTCCCCTCCCTACCTGGTATTCCTCTGCAAAACCGCAGTTGCTATCCTTCTCATTTGTTCTGACATGATCAGCAAAATCTTCAACCAGGATATCTAATGGGAAACTGCAGAAGAGAGGGAGGAAACTGTCCTCAGTTACAGAAGCCCCAGGAATCTAATACAAACCAGAACCAAGTCAACTGCTGTTGAGTTGGCACCAACCCATGGCGACTTCACACGTGTCAGAGTAGAACTGTCTTTCATGAGCTTTCCAATGACTGTGATCGTTTGGAAGTAGAGCACCAAGCCTTCCTTCCAAGATGGGTTCCCATTGTCAACTTTTTGGTTGGCAGTTAAATGCTTAACCATTTGTGCCACCCAAAGATTCCAATCCTGGTGTCCTCATTAAAAAAAAAAAAAAAAAGGAAGCTACACAGACAGAAAGAGCGAACACAGCCATTTGACACCCTAACTGTACATCAAGGAAATCCCAAGGAACGCGTAAAGTTAACAGAAGCTCAGAGAGAGAGGCATTGAACAGAATCTCCCTTAGAGCCCTCAGAAGGAATCAACATTGGCTGACACCCTAATCTCACACTTCCAAGTTCCAGAACTGTGAGGCAATACATTTGTCTTGTTTTAAGCTGTCCCATTCATGGTCCTTTCCTATAGCAGGTATGTTGTTGTTGTTATGTGCCGTGGATTCGGTTCCGACTCATAGCAACCCTGTACAAGGTTTCCGAGGCTGTAAATCTTTACAGGAGCAGAAAGTGTCATCTTTCTCCCGCGGAACGGCTGGTAGTTTCATACTGCTGACCTAGCGGTTCACAGCCTGATTCGTAACCACTACACTATCAGAGCTCCATAACAGCCATAGGAATCTAATAAAAATCAAACCTAAACCAATTGCTAAAGAGCTGACTCTGACTCCTGGTACCCCCACGTGTGTCAGGCTAGAACTGAGCACCGTAGAATTTTCAGTGGATGGGAGCTTTTGGAAGTCCTTCCTTCTGAGTGGCTGGAACGGACAAGCATTCAATGACAAACTGAGCACTTCAGTCTTTGTATCACCCAGGGACTCCAGGGGTATAACACACTCCCCGAGACATTCTACTCACCTGAAGGCCAGATCCCGAGATGCCAATTTCTCCTTGTGCTTGTTATTCCTAGGAAAAGAATGTTGGGGTGAAAAGCTCAGGGAAAAAGACTTGGAGCCAGGGGTTCTCATCCTCCCTCTACCCCCACCCCCACATCCAGGTGCTCAGCCCTGCCTTAAGTCTCACCTCTTCTTCAGGAAGAAAACCAGGAGGACCACAAGGATGAGTAACAAGAGAACTCCCACAATGGCACCGATGATGACCCCTGGAGGCAGGAGGCATTGGAAGCTGTTAGAGAGAGCCGGGGTCCTACTTTGTCTGTTATCTCCAGCCTCAACCTACAACTGTAATCAGAATGTGTGTCAACCTATCAACATGTTGTCTATACAAGAGACACATCTTAGACCCAAAGACGTCAAAAAACGAAAACTCAAAGGATGGAGATGGTGTATCAAGCAGACAGTAATTTACAAAGAGCCAGGGGGCAATAAAAATTTTGGCTTAAATAGACCTGAAAGCAAAATTCACCATAAAAGACAAGGAAGCCCAATGACAGTGCTCAAAAATACATGAAAGAAACTCTAGCACCACTGAACAGAGAATAAACAATCCTACAATAATGGTGGTGGTGGTTGTGTGCTGTGGAGTCGGTTCCAACTCATACCAATTCTGTATAGGGTTTCCCAGACTGTAAATCTTTATGGGACAGAAAGCCTTATCTTTCTCCCATGGAGCAGCTGGTAGATTTCAACTGCTGACCTTGTGGTTAGCAGTCCAACTCGTAACCCACTACACTACCATGGCCCCTACAATAATAATAGGAGACTTCAACCCATCACTTTTGGTGAAGGGCAGAAGAACTAGAAACAAACCCAGCAAAGATATAGAAGATCTTAATGCCACAATCAACCAACTTGACCTCCTAGACACACACGGAACACTCCCACCCCAAACAGAAGCAAAGTAGTCATTCTTTTCGAATGCACGTGAATGGTTCTTCAGAACAGACTACATTTTAGGGCACAAACCAAGCCTTGATAAAATTCAAAACATCTGAATAATATAAGACATTTTCTCTGATCATCATGCCATAAAAGTAGAAATTAATAACAGGAAAAGCGAAAAACCAGATGAGCGCCACATACATGGACAAGCATACCATGCTCATGGAGGGGACGCCTTGACGTTGTGAGAATGAGAAGGTCAATACCACCCAAAGTAATCAATAGACACAATGCAATCCCAGCCTAAACCCAACAGCATTCTTTAATGAGATGGAAACACTAATGACAAACTTTATATGGAAAGGAAAGAGGCCCTGGATAAGTAAAGCACTACTGAAGAAGAAGAAAAAGTAGGAAACCTCACATTACCAGATCTCAGAACCTCCTATATTGCCACAATACTCAAAACAACCTGATACTGGTCAAATGAACCAGATTGATGAACCAGAATTGAGAACCCAGACATAAATCCATCTACCTATAGATACCTGACCTTTGACAAAGTCCATTCAATGGGGAAGAGACAGTCTCTTTAACAAATTGTTGTTGTTGTTAGGTGCCGTCAAGTCTGTTCTGACTCATAGTCACCCAATGCACAACAGAGGTAACACTTCCCAGTCCTGTGCCATCCTCACAACTGTTACATGGGAGCCCATTGCTGCTGCCCCATGTGTCAGTCCATCTCATTGGGGGTCTTCCTCTTTCCCACTGACCACCCACTTTACCAAGCATTGTGTCTTTCTCCAGTGATTGGTCCCTCCTGATAACATGTCTGAAGTATGAGAGATGAAGTTTCGCCATTCTGGCTTCTAAGGAGCACTCTGGCTGCACTTCTTCCAACACAGATTTGTTTGTTCTTCTGGCAGTCCATGGGCCTTTCCATATTCTTCTGCAGACACCACACCTCATATGTATCAATTCTTCTACAGTCTTCCTGATTCTTTAACAAACAGTGCTGGCAAACTGGAGATTCATTTGCAGAATAATGAAAAAATGAAGCAAGATCTATATCTCATACCATTTACAGAAACTAACTCAAGATGAACCAAAGACTTATATGTAAAACTCACCAAAGAAAAACACAGGGGCAAGCGATTTATTTATGTCATAAATTAGTCCCTAATTTATGGCATTAGTAGACAATCAGCGTGATCAAAATTACGCAAGCAGCAGAGAATAAACCAGATGACCAAGGACTTCAGGAAATGAAATGCACATCAAAAATCTTATATATGTCAAAATATGTCTCCAGAAAAGTTAAAAGAGAACCTGAAGACTGGGGAAAATATTTAACAAGGAACTAGTTTCTAAAATTTTATCGAAAATTTCAACCCTCAACCACAAAAAGACAAGCAATACAATTTTAAAGTGGGTAGAGGACATGAACAGACACTTCACCAAAGGAGACAGTCAAATAGCTAACCAATACATGAAGGTGTTCCTGATTGTTATTCGTTGTTGTTGTTGTTAAGTGCTGTCCAGTAGGTTCCTACTCAGAGTGACGCTGAATAAGGTTTCCAAGGAGTGAATGCTGGGTTTGAACTGCCAACCTTGTAGTTAGCAGTCCAGTGCTTATCCTACAGCACTGGACTCAGTAACAATTGTTGCTGTTCTTGTTAAGTGCTGTCGAGTCAGTTCTGACTCACAGTGACCTTGGGTTCCCAAGGAGTGGCTGGTGAGTTTGAGCCACAGACCTTGTGGTTCAAATCCACCTTGAAGTTCAGTGCTTACCCTACAGCGCCATTAGAGAGATGTAAGGCAAAACAACAGTGAGCAGAGATGGGGGCATGGAGAGGGGGAGCGGCTGAGGACTCTAGATTCATGGACTAAGAAGGGAAGGACTAAGAGCTGGTGGCCAGGAGCAGACTTGCAGAATGTGCCCTTTGGAGACGTAAATATATGCCTGAGTGTTTTGTTTTGTTGTTGTTGTTTTTTAAAAAAAGCTAAAGTGGATAGAGAGAAATACTTTTAACTGATGGTATATGGAGGGGATTATAATCAATGTAATGAAACAAGTTATATGAATTGTTGAATGTGAAACTGATGATGTGCCCTGTAAACTGTCACTCAATCCACAATAAAAACCTTAAATTAAAAAAAAAACAACAGTGAGCTATCATCTCACCCTGGAAATAAAGTTGATGTTGTTAGATACATTCAAGTAGGTTCTGACTCATAGCAACCCTGTATAGGATTTCCAAGGTTATAAATCTTTACAGGAGCAGAAAGCCTCATTTTTCTCTCAAACAGAAGCTGGTGAGTTTGAACTGCCAACTTTGTGGTCAGTGTTCCAGTAATTATCCTACAGTGCTCCCTGGCAATATATATATATATGGTTGTTGTTGTTAGGTGCCATCGAGTCGGTACAAACTCATAGCGACCTTATGCACAGCAGAATGAAACACTACCGATCCTGGGCCAACCTCACAATTGTTGCCATGCTTGAGCCCATTGATGCTGCCAATTGGCCAACCCATCTCGCTGGGGGTCTTCCACTTTTTCTCTGATCCTCCACCTTACTAAACATGATATCCTTCTCTAGTGACTGGTCCCTTCTGACAATATGTCCAAAGTATGAGAGACAAAGTTTGGCCATCCTGGTCTCCAAGGAGTACTCTGGCTGCACTTCTTCCAAGACAGATCTGTTGGTTCTTTTGGCAGCCC